TCAGTATCTGCATTCTTCCCAAAAGGCCATCTGTAGGCCACCTTAACAAATACCACCCGCAACATTATTGTTTATAATCGGGATGTTTGGTTTTGCACCAGGGGCAATGTTTGTAATAAGTTGGGATCTTAGTTTACATGTTTTGTTTACATTCAAGGTGTATGACTGCATGTTTTGTTAATTCAAACTGCTGTGTGTGTGTGTGTGTGTGTGTTTTTTTTTTCTTCTAAGAAACCGAGCCAGTGAATGGATAGAGTGCCTTTTGGCAATTGTCCTTGTGCTATAGAACTAGAAGTAGCTAAGAAACAAGGTATTTTTTGTTTTTGATTTTGTTCTTGTTTTATTTTGATTTGGTTTTGTTTTCTAAATTGCGTAAGGCAGAAAATTTGTTTCAAGAGGCATGATATTAGAATCAGAAAGTATATCCATTTAGTTTAACATACTGTGGCAGCAATTCAAAGAATTTCCTTAGGCGGCATTTGAATAGCATTCATTTCAAGTGGATTTAGAAATTACTTAATTGAATGATCCATATCCAGCAGTGGCTAAGAACACATGGCCACAGCAGCATATGTTTAGAAACCCATTAACACTTCTTCAGACAAGTTTTAATTGATCAAATTTCCTGCTATTTTAATATTTAGGCCCCGTTTGGGAATTGACTATTTTGGTTGACTTTTTGATTTTTTACAAAAAGACGTGTAAAAAAGTAGGGAGTGATGTAATTGGGTGTTTTGTTTTATTGGCTATTTTAGCCCAAATGGTTGAGATACAGGTATATAAAATATTTTTTTCAAAAGATAGCTTAGCGTGATAGGCACGGCCAAATCTTGAATGAATTATTTAGGATCCTGTTTATGTCAAATATCCATGATGTTGCCTGTGTATCAGTTACACATGTTTTTGGGATTATTTGTGAAAAGTGCGCTCAATTCATATTTTAGTGAAACAAATTAATATCAAGAAGCAAACATTTGCAAATGGAATTGCTGTTTAAGCCATGTACTGATCATGACCTAGCAACCCATTTGGTCCAAAGTCGTTGATAAAACATGTAGTTTGTTTGTACTTGTTTCAATTAGTCTCATGGTCTATCCTTACAGCAACTGGCCCACATTTCCACAGATATTTTATCAAGGGGGAGTTCATTGGAGGATCAGACATCATTCTCATCATGCACCAGGTATTACCATATCAAATTTGTTCTTCTTAAGCCTGGGATGCATCATACATTGTTTTTATGGTTTGGTCTGTCATGTAGGCGGGTGTGCTGAAGGAAATTCTTAAAGATATTGCTGCCAACTAGGAGAGATTGTAATAACTCATGATTGTTGACTATGTATATTTACGTAAGAATTTGCAGTTGTCTTTGATGTTTTAATTTCTTTTGAGGTAATATAAGCATGTTAAATTTATGTCCTATTTACAGACCCTACTTTAGCGGGAAGTTCATGCACTAAGTTGCTCCTTTTAAGTATGTTAAACTACGAATAATTGTTGACTTAATCTAATAATGGTTTGTGCAAGTATGGATTCAAAAATTGTATATGTATAACATTACTCCATGAAAATTTACACACACAATTATATATATTACTGCAGTCCACCTTTTATTTTGGTGTGTAGTACAATGAAACAACTCAAGCTGGTGCAATATTTAGCACAATACACACAGCACAACCAAGGGAAAATATTTCTCTTCAAATCTAATAATACATGATCACACTACTGCTTCTTATTTCTTCAATTCAGAGGACTGCTAAAATTCACGACTGACAGAGGAAGAATCTATCCATCCACTAGTCGTCGCAATTTCAGGGGTACTGACATGCTCAACAATGACCACATGATGATAATGTTCCTTGCCGTGACCTCCACATTTGCCATGGCGATGGTGCCTTTTGCTAGGACTGCCACTACGGTGACCATGATGTATCCCACCATGACCGTGATGTCCTCCACGGTGACAACCACCATGGCCACCATGTCCGTGATCACCATAACTATGTTGATGAATATGATGTCCCCAGCCATGATCGTGGTGTTGGTAAATAAGATGTCCCCAGCTGTGACCGTGATTCCCTCCGTTGTGACCAGCTGCACCTCCGGGGCTGTGGTGTTGTAAGTTGTGAACACCGTGACAGAATGGATTATGATGGTTGACGCACCCAAACATCTTTGTTGTTGAAGTGTTTGTCCAAATCTCTGAAGATTGCTTCGTGACTGGATATTATGTGAGGAGTGACAATGTTGGGAGCTCAAATATTTATAGATAAAATGGGATGAGTGGTCGGTTATGCTTTTACTTGGAGTTTACTTTTTTTTCTTGGAGAGGAAGCTAACGGGCGAGGGAGACTTATCGATATGAATATGTGACCTTTATTCATGCAGTAATAATAGGTATCATGAAAAATCTTTCATGAAAATAATTATGAAAGTTTTGTGATTCTTAGATTACACTTAAAATAAAGCATCACACACTAATTAAGGTAATCTAAGGATCATAACTCTTTCATGATTATTTTCATGAAAATTTTTATGATTCCTAACTTTTTCCTTATTCAAGTGTATATCATTAGTTTATTCGTGTTGTCCAAGAAATAATTATGGGATTAAATGACGGTTGGGACTCCCTCTTCTAACAGTCTTTTTCTTCAAACAAAAATGGTAGAGATCTTAAAAATTCTACCAAAAGTTTTACCAAATGTCTCACATGGGTGTGGGATCCACATGGGACCCACATTGTATAGGTTCCACATCCATCTGAGACATTTGATAAAACTTTTAGTAGAATATTTGGGGTCTCTAGTATTACTCTTCTTCAAATATTGATGAATTCGCGTTAACTTGTGCTATATAGCCAAGTCACCGACATAGGTATAGACCTTGGACATTAACATGTCTGGGCGGGTTTTTTTAATATTTAATGTCGGTCCTATTTGGTCAACTGTATATTGGATTGATTAATTCTTAAGTTATTTTTAAGTAGGGGTGAGCAGCGGTTCTTTCGATCCGTCCAAATCGACCAAACCAAATCGATCCGTCGTATTTTGGATTGATGCGTGATGACGAGCAGGTGGTTGCGGATTGATTTTTTTTTCAATCCGCCTAATTTTAGACGGATAACGGATTTGAAGTTTCTTTGGCTGCAACCAAACTGTCAAACTGCGAGCACTCTTAGTAATTTGCAAGATTTTGTGTTTTCAATTTGTTTAGATATTCTATTTGTATTTTCAATTGAAAAATAGTTTAAATATTCTGTTATGTTTTCAATTTGTTTTTAATTTGAAATTCTTTTATCAAATGGCAAGTATTGATATTTGGTATTTTTGTATGGAAAATATAAGGCTTAATTTTGTCATTTTTTTAAAAATCAAATTAAATAGTTTTCAATAAAAAAAAAAAGAAGTAATGAAGTAGTTTTGATAATGCATGGTTTTATTATGTATTTATTATTGGTATTTGACAATTTACTTGATAATGTTGAGTTGGATTGTTATCAAAAAAAAAAAAAAATGTTGACAAGTTGTATTATGTTTAAAATTTATAAAAGTTTAAACCGCCAAACCGATTTGTATCCATTAGTCAATCCGCTCAATCCGTATTCGTTAATCTGGTGGATGGATGCAGATTGATTTTTTTCAATCCGCCAATGCAGCGGACGGATGACGGATTAGAGGTTTTTCGGCCGCAATCGAACCGTGAACACCCCTACTTTTAAGTAGTGTTTGAATCAATTTTTAAGTTAAACCTATACTCAAATTTATGATTTAAATAAAGTTTTAAGATGGATTAATGAAATATAGGAAAGTGAAGGAAAACATGTTCCTTCTTCTCTCTCAGTCTAAATTTAAATTAGAGGATGTCGACTGGACGTGTTGGGTTCATTTTTTTTTTTAAATAATTCAAATTGTTTATTTTATAAGATCTTTTGCGTATTCATGAACAAAATTAGGTTAATTTGATAAGTGTAGTTTATTTATTTTTGGCCGAATTACACTAACGGTCCTTATAATTTGGACCTTATATCACTTTAGTTCCTAACTTTTCAACTATGACACATTTGACCTTGAATTTTAAATCTTGTTATAGATAAGGTCAATTTAAGATACTGTTGCTCAATCTCAAGAGCAAAGTCGTCAATTTGATAAAAATATAAACTAATTTGACAAAAATAAATGTTAAAAAAATATTTTTGAATTTTTAAAAATTATTTCTACCCACCATAGATAAAATTACATAAAAATGATAAATCTTTTACATTATTATTTTTTTTACCAAATTAATTTTTAATATGTGTTTGGATGATAATCATGTAATGATTGGTCATTTTTGTTGATACATATATATACTAATTATAGTTATCATGTAATAGATGGTTATATTTGTTGTTAACAAATATTTTTGAGTGGTTATAGTGTAATGGATGATTATTATGGTTATCATGTAATGGATGGCTATTAGGTTTTTAATGTGTAATCGATTTGTTTAATATATGAAATATTTTTAATTTTTAATTTTTTGATATTTTGAATTGGTTTAATAATGACATCGAAATTGTCCTTATATTTGACATTTGAAAAAAAAATTAAAAATAAATTATTTTTATATGATTTTATTTTCTGAAAATTATTTTTATATAATTTTATTTTTGAGATGGGAGAAATAATTTTTTTATATTTATTTTCGTTAAATCTCATTTTTATTTTTTTTATTTTTAAGGCACCGTTTGGGAAGAAGGTTTGTACGCTTTTTTAACTATTTTAGCCACAAAAAACAAAATAAGCTATTTTAATCACAACCAACAAAATATCACATCTAACTCATAATTATTATATTATTCTCTCACAAAAAAAGTTAAAAAACCAAAAAATCCTTCCCAAACCAAACTTTTTAATCCAAACTAAAATAATCAAAAAAACCAAAAAGTCAAAAAGTCAACCAACTCCCAAAACCAACCTAATATGTATACTATTGAGTATATATATGTGTAAATTTTATTGATTGAAAATTGCATATACCTTCGGCCTCCCAAGATCAAAATCTTGGGATTAGGGTTTAGGGTTAGGAATCAATTTCTAAATCTTCACCAGAGAATGAAACTTGATCATCGCCGACCGGAAGAAAAAATGAATAGCGTTAGCCCATGGAAACGGAAACGCCCTGAACGGGAAGGTAAAAACATTGGCTGGACAAATTTTTATCGTTATATATATATATTTTTATTTTCTAATAATGATGATATAAACAGGTTCATTCGTAATTCCGCGACATAGTATTGGGGAGAGGTTTGACCATTTTGTATATGCTAATATGGACGTAGATATTGATACCAAAAGAGCGGCTTTGAAAGCTTCTCCTTCAGTTGTTTGTCTTACATCCCTTACAGGTGGGTGGTATATACCACATTATTATGTCATGCTTTATTGTTCTTCATGTTATCCTTCATATACGTCATTGTCAGCGGCTATGTTAGAGCACCTCTAATTTCATCTTTCTTTCTTTTTTTATTATCAAATTTGGGTAAACAATTGGTTGAAAACTTAATTTGATATGGGATGCTCCAATAGCTTTTGATCAAATTTAACTAAAAGCTTGATTTGGTAAAAAAAAAAAATTGAATACTCCAATCCTCCCTTAAAAATTTCATCAAATCCTTTTTAAAAATTCCAACATTGTCCCCAAAAGCTTCTTTCATCAAATTTGGTGATTATTTTTTCCTTGATTTGACCCGAGTATCCAATACGTGTGCGTGTGTAAGCGTCAAACCTTCCAAAACTTAGATCTTGGGATATTGGGGGTATGTATCCAAAAATAGGATACGGGTATGGGGACTCATACTATGTTTGGGAACCTACGAGAAAAGAAAAGAAATGATTACTTAAGTTACAAGAGAAAAGAAAAGAAAAGAAATGATTGTGATTTTCTCTTTTTTGTTTGGATGAGTAAGAAATAAAAGGAAAAAAAAAGATTGTGATTTATCTCCTTGTTTGGTTAGATTTCACAATGGAAAAGAAAAGAAACTGTTTTATGTTATATTACCAAAATAATCTTTGTATATTTTGTCAATCATTTTATTTCTTTTATTTTATAGGGACAAAATTGGCATTATGAAAATATAAGAATATGTTGGTTTCTTTTCTCTCCTAATCTCTCCACTTTTGGGAAGATTGAAAATGAGAGTTATAAGAGAAATGAGTTTTTCTCCATTTCTCTCCACTTAAATTATCCAAATAAGTAAGAGAAATACACATCTCTCTATTTATTTTATTTTCTTTCCAAGTCACTCAATCCAAACATAGTGTCATTATGAACAGTTATATCTGTTAAATATTATACTATAATATTTTTTGATTAAGTTTTATAAATTATGTAGAAATGTGCTTGAAATTCAATAGGATTTAGGAAAAAATAGAATTTCTTTCATCTATTGTTGGAGGCTACAAATGTTTTTTTCCTAGCAAATTTGAGTTTCTTATTCATCAAACATTGTAAAAAATTGGAGATCAAGTGTCCAAATTGGGTATCGGTGTCGTATACATATCCCACATCCTTATTTTTGTCATATTTGGTGGACATGGGTACTTTGGAGGAACTAGAAAAGTCCATGTAACACAGGTCATTGTGTTTGACCTTGGGGTAGGCAACCAAGGCAACTGACTTGGGCCCCTGGATTTTGAACCATAGTTGCATGAAGCAGGAGCGAGGGAGCGAGGGCCCTTACAGAAGAGTTCAAGGTTGGGAGTGGTGGAAACCCTTATTTTTTTGCTTTGTATTTCTAAATCCATTCATACCATTCTTCCTTTAATTAGATGTACTCGTTCATACTTTGCTTATTTTGTAAACTCAACTAATTGACAATGAAAGTTTTCATTCTTGCATGTGCTTTCATGTTTATACAAATGCTATACACACATGTAGAGACTTTGCTTATTTATTTCAATGTCTAGGTGGGAAGATGTTTGCATGTTCTGGGACTATAATAGAATGCGAGGATGTTAATGGAACATTCATCAGTACCATTTTAACTTCTGCGACTCTCCTAAGATCACCTATTGATGCAAATGCTATACAGATGGTGTATAAATAGAGGCACCCGTTAAATTGATATAATAATAAGTTGAGTCAAATTGAATAGTAAGTAGAGAAGTACTAAGTAGTTAGTGAAATTTCATTAATTAATAAGTCATATTTAATTGAATAGTAAGTCAAGTCTGATCGAATAATAAGTAAACATTTTATTAATTTACTTACAATCAATTATGATAATTCTTATCATTATTAAATATAATACTTATTATTTGTTCTAATTCTAATTATCAATTAATGATTGTCAGTAATTAGATATTTGATTAAGTAATAAGTCAAGTCATATTATTCGTTCTAACTCTACTTACCTCTCAATAGTTGTCAAGTCAAATGTTTGATTAAGTAATAAGTCAAGGCTAATAAAATTGTAGGTAAAGTCTCATTGAGTAATAAGCGAAATTTAATTAAGTAGTATGTTAAGTCTAATGAAGTCGTAAGTGAAATCTCATTAAGTAGTAAATGCAGTTTAACAGAGTAGAACTTTAGTGAAATAGTAAGTGAAATCTCATTCAATAATAAATGAGATCATACTATGACACTATCTAAAGTTGGTTAGATTTCTAAACTTGTTAATCACTCGTTATGAATTATCTTACCATTTGTTTTGAAATGACTTATCACTTAGTATGACACTCTCTAAATGAGATTTTATTTAATAGTAAGTCTCAAGTTTGATGAAGTAGAAAGTCTGAGTATCATTGAGTAATATTTGGGTTTGATTGAGTAGTAGGTAAATTCCAATGAAGTAGTACCTAGAAGCTCATGAAGTAATGAGTGAAGTAAGTAGAGACTTTGAGTAATAAGTGAAATTTAATTGAATAGTAACTTTTTGGGAACAAGCTATTTTAATAACTTTTTGACTTTTTATAAAAAGATGTGCAGAAAAGTAAAGAGAGTGATGTGACAACTTATAGTGACTTTTTTGGCTAAAATATATAGTCGACAACTGAGGCCAAACGTAAAGTTTAATGAAGTAAAGGGACTGACTTTTTGACTTTTTGGTGTAAAGTTTAATGAAGTAATAAGTGACAACTCATTAAATAGTAAATACGATTTAATTGAGTAATAAGTGAAATATGGTAAAATAATAAGTGAAATTTCATTAACTAATTGTAATATCACTAACTATTTAGTTTGATCTAATTAATTTTATTATACTTACCACAGATAGAAGGCAACATTAGGCATAACAACACTGTATACAAATTACATAATGATGATGATGATGATGATGATGATGATGATGATATTGACATTGGTGAGTACAACATTAGTAATCAAAAGAATATCGTTAGTTCCGATGATCTCTCTTAAGCGTATGGATCAATTAACTAAAAAAGATGTGTTTGAAATAACATTTGATTTGGTAGAAAATTGAGAAAATTTATATAATATGTATGCAAAGGTGAAAGGTTTTAGTATTCAAAAAGATCTATTGTATAAGGACACGAGTAATAAGGTTATATCGAGGAGATTGGTTTGCTCAAAAGAAGGATATCGACAATACATACAATTTATTGAGATAATGATTACCATTCACTAACACAATAGTAACTATTCATTATGATTTTACTCACCATATTCATAACAACATAATGGTTTTCCATGAACACATAATTGTTATGATGGCATTGTCACGACCAAAATTGACTATTAAATGAAGTGTAATGAAATAGTAAGTAGAAACTTATTGAGTAGTAAGTGGAGTTTAGTGAAGTAGTAAGTGGAAGCTTATTTAGTAATAAGTGAAGTGTAGTGAAGTAGCAAGTGGAAGCTCATTGAGTAGTAAAGGAAACCAAAATTGAGTAGTTAGTGAAGTGTAATGAAATAGTAAGTGGAAACTCATTGAGTAGTAAGTGGGGTTTGATTAAATAGTAAGTGGAGTATGATTGAGTAGTAAGTAAAGTTTATAATAAGCCAATTTGTAGCGAGGTTACACATTTTGTAATTGATGTTACGAAATTTTATGGTAAAATTACACATTTTGTGATAGGGTGCATATTTACTAAACCAAATATTTTCTAATTTTACTTACCATTCATTGTAACACTACTTGTCACTTAATATTTTATCATTTTTACTTTTTTGTATAACCATTCATTCTAAATCTACTTATAAGTTAGTTTTAACCTAAGAGCATCTCCAACGGTAGTAGGCATTTTACCTATCTAAATATTACTATAAAGTATATATTTTATTTTGCCTATCACCTGTTTTATATTTTTACTCCAACCATGCTCTTTATTTTAGCTATTAATCCAAATACTATTAATTTTATAGAATGCCACGTCAACAACAAAGATGGAGGGAAATGATCCTAATGATTGAATACATTTTCCCTAGCGTTGAAGGCTAGCTACATGTAGAGCATCTCCAACGGTAGTAGGCATTTTACCTATCTAAATATTACTATAAAGTATATATTTTATTTTGCCTATCACCTGTTTTATATTTTTACTCCAACCATGCTCTTTATTTTAGCTATTAATCCAAATACTATTAATTTTATAGAATGCCACGTCAACAACAAAGATGGAGGGAAATGATCCTAATGATTGAATACATTTTGCCTAGCGTTGAAGGCTAGCTACATGTAGCTAGTGAATATGAGTTGAGCCAAAATGCCTAATCATATGCCTAGTGCGTTGGAATTGAAAAAAGTGAATCACACTAGGCATTTTAACTAACAAGTATTATATGCCTAGTGCATTGGAGATGCTCTTATCACTCATTCTCCTGATAAGTCATTTTCATCTTAATTATCATTCAATAATAAGTGAAATATGATTGAATAGTAAGTAGAGTTTCATTGAATACTTCTCATTTATAAATACAATACTTGCCATTTATTTTGATTCTACTTACTATTTATTATATTTCTACTTATAATTCATTAGGGTTTATTATAATATCCTATATGAATCCAATCTAAAAAAAGTAATCAATTAATTACCACTGTTCTTTTTCTCCTAAAACGTAGGATTATTACATAAATTAACTTATCCTTATTTAGATAAAAAGTAGAAGCATTATAATTACCACATGTAGTTACCGTAGTTTTCAATTAATTATGTTTGATTTTTTATAGGCTATAACCAATTATAAAGGTTTTGAATGGATGGCCCAGATTGAAAGAGTGCATCTAATGGCTAGTAATTAATTTCATGAACGGTACCTCAAAACCAAATTTGCGAACTGTAGCTGTTCCCCAAGAGTTCGGATCCCCTCCTTAAGAATCCTACTTTATCTCCTCCTTGCAACGGTTGAGATTAAACGTTGCACATCCAACGACCATTAAAAAAAAAAATGAAATTGAAATTTTAGTTTCCCGCCCAAAACAAAAAAGAGCTTATACAGAGGTTATATAGATTTGATGCGCACTCCTTCTCACATAGCCTCACACTCACCTCTTCTTCTCCGTCGAACCCACTCTCACCAGCGACCTAATACCAGCGGCAACCCACTCTCGACGTCGTTGTAGATCCGACGACGGTGACCCACTATTGACCCGATACAGATTATGTCTGCTTGGCAAACCAGAGCCGTCACATTCTTTTCCTCCACCTCACCGAAGTCGTCGCACTGACAGATCCTCTCTACAGCGACCCACTCCCCAAACCAAACCCATTGCTTTGCCCTCATTCTATCTACCTTCACTTCGCAAACCAAAGGTTAGTCTTTTTCATTCTATCTACCCTTATTCTATCTACCCTCTCTTCATTATTTGAGCTTGATGTCAGTAGATGGAACTACATTTTGTGTGTTTGGAATGTTTTCAAACTGAAATTAGTCTATAAGTTTTTCTCTCTGGAATATTTTTTTGTGTCTAGAATTATTTTTTGTATCTGGAATTGAAAAGAAATAGAAGCAATTTATAAACTGTAATTAACAAACTGCAATTTATAAACTGAAATTTGTGGTCTTGCATAACTAAATTTAATGATGGCTTCATGGGTTTTTAACAAACTGTAAATCAAGAAAAAGCTATTTATAAAACAAATAGAGCATCAAAATAGAAATGAAATACTACCAGCATACTAAGGACATAGAAGCGTGAAAAACACCGTAAATCATTGCCAAATGAAAACAGAATACAGAAAATGAAAACACAATCAAACAGGCCTTAAACCTTTTGTTTTTTTGTATGTGATATTCAATTTAACATTGGAATAGACAAAGAAACACAAATTTCTAATAACTCAAAAAGCAAGCTTACCATAAATTGAATTGGTAGATGTTGCTACAACCAAAATTTGAATGAAAATCACAAAAAGGCAGACCTTACTAAATGTGGGTAACTGGGTTCTTCTTCTTCAAAACAAGTTTTATACAATACCCACAAACCACCATTGACTAAAACAAAAGTGTGAAGGCTTAAGAATTCAACAAATGAACACATGGTGTCTATGTAAAGCTATATAAAACAAACAAGTAGATAAAACAGAGTGTTGGTCATATCCATATTTAATGCTAAGCACACCTTATAATGAGTCCTCCCATTATATATACATACAAATATTTGAATTCAAATGTGACAAATATTGTAATTTATGTAGCTAAGATTTTATTTATATGGGTTTTCAGTTGCATTTTGATATGGATATGGAACTTGAGAATGATTGTGCTTGGAAGCCAAAACAGGGAATGACATTTGATTCTGAACAATGTGCGTATGATTTTTATAATACATATGGAGGAAGAATGGGGTTTAGCATTAAGAATGGATTATTGTAGGACGAACAAGTTCACTAACCAACTTCTTTGTCGACTTTTGGTTTGCAACAAGGAGGGATTTTGGAAGGTTGACAAGCGAGACCCATTGGCAAAAAACCCTAGAGCTGAAACTAGGATTGGTTGTGAGGCTCAACTTTATGTGAAATTAGATGAGGGTATTAGGAAATTTGTTGTGACTGATTTCAAAGAAAAACACAACCACGATCTTGTATCACCTGAGTGTGCCCATATGTTGTCGTCACAAAGAAAGAAATCGCCTACCCAAGCAATTGAGTTAGATTTGGCAGCATCTGGTCTTCATTTAGGCCAGTCTTTTGAACTCATGGGTAGGGAAGCTGGTGGGAGGCAATGTCTTGGGTTTACGAAATTAGATCAAAAAAATTATTTGAGAACAAAAAGACAACAAAGTTTAACATATGGGAAAGTAGGCAATGTGTTGCAATACTTTAAAGAAAAATCTTTGCAGAATCCTTCTTTTTTTTTATTCTTTTCAGTTAGATAATGAGGAGCAAATAACGAATATGTTTTGGGCCGATGCACAAATGATCATAGATTATGTCCAATTTGGTGATGTTGTCACATTTGATACGACTTACAAGTTAAACAAAGAACATAGACCCTTTGCATCTTTTGTGGAATTCAACCAACATAGGGAAACCGTTATATTTGGTGCAGCCTTGTTGTATGATGAGACCGCCAATTCATTTGCATGGTTGTTTCAAAATTTTCTAGAGGCTATGTCAAGAAAGGCACCCAAAACTTTGTTCACGGATCAAGATGCTGCAATGGCTAAAGCCATGCCCATTGTTATGCCTGACACGAGTCACCGATTGTGTACTTGGCATTTGATGCAAAATGCATTAAAACATGTTAATTGTTTGTTCCAAGATAAGGGGGTAAAAGGTGTATTAAATAAATTCCTGTTTGACATTGAAGATGAAAATCAATGGAAGTTAGAGTGAGTTGAAATACTTGATAAATATGATGCGCATGATAACAATTGGTTGAAATTGACTTTTGTGGTGAAAGAAAAATGGGGCTGGCCATATGTTAGATCAATTGCGCAGAAATGCTTGATAAATAAATTCCATCCTCATTGGTTCTTACAATATATATGACAGCGGTTCTTCCATAATTACACAGTCTCGGTTGTAATCTTATGTTTCTATTATTAGAAGAAGAAACTATTTTTAAATTTGCATACATGAGAAGTTACTTCTTCATCTATCTATGTGGATGGTCCTAAATTATAAAAATTTTATAACAATACAATTTTCAGAGGAGAGGCACAGAGAATCATGTCAAGATCAGATTCCATCACAGCAGCAGCAAACATAACTAACATCAGACTTAGACAACAGCACAAAAACACCCGATTCCATCACAGTAGCAGCAAGCATAACTAACATCAGACTTAGATAGTAGCACAAAACAAAACCAGCATCAGACTCAGACAGTAGCACAAAACATAACCATAACTAACCATCACCCTCAGTCAAGGTGCAAGCTCAACAAACAATAGCACAACATAACTAATCATAGCATAACTGAGCAACCAAGAGGCAGGCACACCCAAAGTCATCACAGCAACACAAAATAGAACCAAAACACTGCATTGTTGGTCTGCTGACCACCATAACTAACTATCAGTTCTGCAGCATAGCATACCAGCTGAGTATATCATATCAGCAGACCAACAAAGAATACCAATTAATAGACAGAACAATGATAGGCATACCAACAAAGTATCACCCTCAGATCAACAAAATAAAGAGACAGTGCAATAAATAAGATGGAACAGCCAAGAACAGATCAACAATGTATCCCAGGACAGGTCAAACAAGCTCTGCAGACTCAGAAGAGCAGCACAGAAGCAGAAGAAACAAAACAGACAGTGTACGAGCACGAAATAATTCTTCTCGTATGATCCTGTTGATCAAGTTTGCGCTTCTCCAAATGTCGTTACTTTACTTCCTGAAAACACAAACATGAGCTAGCCAGCGGGTGTGTGCCAGAAACCCCTCCGATGCCTAAGTCAGCAAATAGGCAATAGACAATAAGCTCTATGTATTCTAGAGTAAGAATTGGGATACCTATACATAAGTCTTACTATGAGCTTTTATAGACTCTGCTTGTCACAATCCTAGTAGGATTCCAACTCTCCTTATAGGAGTCCTCCTAGGAATCACACACCCTACTCACTACCAACCAAGTGAGATGGTTTGCACAATCCTAGTAGGACTCTACTCTCCTTAGTAAAGTCCTCCTAGGAGTCTCATCCCCAAGGATGATGTTTATTCTTAAAACACCCTCATCACTGCAAGCCAAGTAAGATGGCCACTCCCTCATGCTCAGTTATACATTCCTGACCGAGCTGCCTTATCTCAGTCCCCTGCCATTCGGACCGTGTGATCGGAAGCTGATCTATCGAATCCACCCTGCCGAGCTATACATAGCTCAGCTCTCATCATTGGTGTTACCTCGGTTTGCTATAGAACTTCCTTTAAACTGCTAGGTCTAAGCCTTAGTGTCACAGCTGACCAGCCTAGCCTAAGACCGAGTTATCATCCCCTATTTCGGCCCATAACCCGGCTCTTAGTGTTGCCTAATATTTAGGAATAATGCTTCCTAGCTCGGCTCAATTTGGCTATACAAATTACCCTCTCAATTGCCCCATAATTCCATCTGCGAAGCATGATTGGGATTACTTTTCTCTAGCCGAGCTAAAAACGCTCAACTCTGCCGAACTATAGAAGTTGTTCGGTCTCACAACTCGTTCAGTCCCAACAAGTCTTGTCAGTTGCTCAGCACGTCATTCCACTAATATGGTATGTCTGATACGACGTTACCTCTAGGACAGGTGGCGTGCCCCCATTAGCCCCGCTCTCATGTTACAGCCGTCATGCCAAAAATTTGAATAGCCCTGCTTTTTTGCCTTCAACGTATATATCCTTCGAGTTTGCAATCGTACGGTGAGTTATTCTTTCTGTATCTCGCCGGGCAGACTAACACGGTTTACACTAACCCTGCCAACCTAGTTTGGCCGAGATAACCATCTCAGTCCAGGAATTCAAAAATTTGTTGGTCAAACCTGCCAACCTCCTTGAGCTGTGATCCTTATCTCGGCTGAAGAATGAAAAAAGTGTTGGTCAAAGCTGCCAACCTTCTTGAGCCTCGGTCCTTATCTCGGTTGAAGAATGAAAATTGTTGGTCAAACCTGCCAACCTTCCTGAGCGTAGATCCTTATCTTGGCTAGAGGAAGAAAAAGTGTTGGTCAAACCTGCTAACCTTTTTCAGTTTTGATCCTTATCTTGGCTGAAGAACAGGATATGTGTGGCCCAACCTGCCAAATTTCCGTCAGCCTAGATCCTTATCTCGGCTGATGGACTAGATGTTGGTCAAACCTGCTAACCTTCTTCAGCCTTGATCCTTATCTTGGCTGAAGAACATGATATGTTTGGCTCAACCTGCCAAACTTCCGTCAGCCTAGATCCTTATCTCGGCTGATGGACTAGATGTTGGTCAAACCTGCCAACCTTCTGAAGCCTAGATCCTTATCTTGGCTAAAGAATGAAAAAAGTGTTGGTCAAGTATGCCAACCTTTTTTATTGCCCCCCCAGTCAGGCAAAGACTTGTTAGAAAGAGTTGGTCAAACCTACCAACCCACTTTGCCCCCAGTTGGGCAAAGATTTTTTTACTTAGTTGGTCCTTCTTGTCAACCGTGCTAACTTTTGTCAAAGATGTTATGTCCGACATCACTGTTTGTATAGAACTCTGCCTTGGTGCGCATCCCATCTTCTTGTACCAAGATGTGTTGGTGCACTCTCTCCATCAGGGCTTCCATAGTAAAAGGCAGCGTCATTGTCATTGAATCCCTCAACCTATGACCCACTGGCAGACCCCACTTATACTATGCAATAGTTAGGTTTGCGGGGCAATTTCCAATCTGATTAAAAGTCTTCCAATATCGGTTGTTGTAAGATTTTAGTGTTTCTTTCACGCCCATGTCGATGGAGAGCAGCTGGTCTATCTCCACCGGTGTCTTGGTGTTTGTTTTAAACCTGGTAACAAACGCTTTCGCTAGTTGTGCCCATGAAGCTATGCTACTTTCTGGCAACCTTTCAAACCACGTTAAACCCAGGTTGCCAAGGCTAGAAGGAAACATGATACACATTAGAGCCTCGTTTCACCAATATATAGCCATAACCTGACGAAAGTGGCTCAAGTGCATGTAAGGGTCTAACTTCCCCTCATAAGTACTGAATTTGGGCTAGTGGAAGCCTGAGGGTAATTGTGCATCCTCTATTTCTGGAACGAATGGCGAGCTTTGTAATCTTGCTAACGCTTTGTCTGTTGGTTCGTAGGCAAAGCGTGGTACTGGTATTATAACCTCAGCACTCCTATGTGTCCTAGGAGTCAACTGTTGTAGTGCAGAAACTCTGCAAGGGTCGCGAGCCTGAGTGTCTTCTCTCCTTTGAGCCCTTTTCTCTAGCATCATTCGCAAGTCTGCCGACCTAGGCAACTTTGTGTGACTAGATGTCATTTAGTGCGAATGCGAGGGCCGATAACTATTTTCCTCCATATAAGACCTTTCAGTCCTCATTCTCTTAGACCTGGAGTCACGAGTCTTGGAAGTCCTCGATTATGTATCGCCTGTCCGGAGGCTTCTACTTTCAATTTGTGACGGTGTGACTTGCCTGTCACCATCTTCTGAGTGGTAAGAGCGCGTGCTGCCTTTATGCCCCTCTTTTGTTGCCACCCCTTCACCTTTTATCTGGCATTTTATAGTCTCCATGTCAGTCGACATTCTTCTTATTACTTCGTCTTGCTTCCTTACGCGATCTTCCAGAACCTAAGGATCCATCATTTGCCTCTGTCTATTAGGGCTTTGAGAGCGGTGTAGACTTGAGCCCTGTCTTTCTCGCACCTCTCTTCGTGGATTTCGTCGCTGGGGATCTAATTCCGCCATGGGTGGTTCATAAGGCAAGCCTTCGCGCCTTGCGCTCCCTCCCGGGGTCTGCCTATCAATAGCAGAATGTGGTAAGTCTTCGTCGTGCACCATTGATTTCTATTAGAGAGGAGAACTTGAGTCAAAAGGTTTTGTTCTGCAGTTTTTCCACAGACGGCGCCAATTGTACGAGCACGAAATAATTCTTCTCGTATGATCCTGTTGATCAAGTTCGCGCTCCTCTATGTCGTTGCTTTACTTCCTGAAAACACAAACATGAGCTAGCCGGCGGGTGTGTGCTGGAAACCCCTCCGATGCCTAAGTCAGCAAATAAACAATAGACAATAAGCTCTATGTATTCTAGAGTAAGAATTGGGATACCTGTACATAGGTCCTGCTATGAGCTTTTATAGACTCTGCCTGTCACAATCCTAGTAAGATTCCAACTCTCCTTATAGGAGTCCTCCTAGGAATCACACACCCTACTCACGACCAACCAAGTGAGATGGTTTACACAATCCTAGTAGGACTCTACTCTCCTTAGTGAGATGAAACCTCTCTGTCTCCTGCCATCACTCAGGCCATCCTGACTCCTCTTGGAGCCTTTCTGCCCTTCCTCCTCCTCTTGCATCATGATCTCCATATGGACTGCAGCATCAACCATACGCTCATAATCCCGAATCATAGTTCCTCCAACTCTTAGCTTGAGGCCACGCCTCAACTTCTTCTCAAACTCAATACAACGGCGTTCCTCAGACGCCACCAACTCAGGTGCAAACCTAGATAAACTAGTAAATGCAGCCTCAAACTTGGCCACTGAAGAACTCGACTGCTTAAGTTGACAGAACTGGTCTCTCAGCTTTTCCCTGACAGCTGGAGATAAAAACCTCTCCTGGAAAGCATTTACAAAAGCCTCCCACGTACCTCCTATACGACCCTTTGTGAACTTCCACCACTGACCCGCATCCCCCTTCAGCTGGAACGATGCCAAGGTCATTTTCAACCCCTCGTCTT